GTTTGATACTGGATATAAGGTACCATTTACATTTATGTTATCAATATTGGGTAGATTATGTCTTGTAAAGATGGTAACACTAGATTTTTGAGGGGTTAGAGAAAACCCTAACGATTCAAATTTCAAAGTAGTTAGTTGTATATGGGACGTGAGTTCAGTTATACCTACTTCTAATTTTTTATTAGTGTTATAAACAACAAAATCATCAGCATACTGTATAATATTATAATTATTTTTTTCCTCGTGAATTTCTTTTGTAAAAACATTAAACAAAAGGGGAGAGATAACGGAACCCTGTGGTAAACCTGTGGATGATCGTCTGGGACCTATTACAGCATTGTTATTTGACCTTATATAAACTTTTCTTTGTGTTAAAAGATTGCACAAGACATTACACACTCTCGCAGGGACATCTGCCTGAAACAATTTTTCTCTTAACATAATGATACTAACTGCATCGTATGCACCTTTTATATCGAGACTCCCCACGATTCTTCTTGGTACTTTCGATGTCGTTAAAACCTTTCGTTATCTTCTTAGAAATACATAAAGGCTGGTCTGTAATTTTTAAGTGGGGGATATGCCACCTTTTTTTGGGAAGCTTGGTAATTTTTTAGGGGAAGAACATCACTTCTGACAGAGCGGTCTTCTAGTAAAGACGCTTGTTTATATTATCGTCTCTGTATTATCTTACCATTCTCTGTGATTTTTTTCTTTAAGTGTATATACACTTAAATATTTGAGATTTTTAATCTAATACCATATTAGATTAAATATGGTTATAAAGTACCTTATTCTATTTTTAACTTCAGTGCTTGAAACTAGTAAAGTATATTAGCTTCAGTGAAGTAGTGCAGCAGTCAGCTAGATTTATCGTAAGTTATCCTAATCATATTATCTTCAACTATCTGGGCGAATCTACGTCGACTATTTCTTCTCCTGTAGTTAAGGTTAACTACTGAGTTGGCATTTAATCAAGGAACACTTAATATTTTCATACGAACTTTCAATCAGCTATTAAGAACTTCTAATAAATAAATAATACGAACATTTAATTCTCAGTAAGAACAGTTATTCATTAAACGACAGTGCTAGACAGATAGTTAACTTACAACCAAGTGCGCGTTGGTTTAATTTTTATAATACAGAATTCTTGTAACCTTTTTGTATTCTTTAGAATTTAAGTTTAATTAATTTTGTTATTTGCTAAACTTGTTAACTATTTTTTTATTTACACTACCCGTTTTTTTCGAGATAAGCCCATAAACAGCAAAGAGAGATTTCTTTAATCAACTTTGGTTGAATTTTTTTATATACTATCAGACTCTCTTCGCTGATAAATTTAATTTTTGCATGATTATATTACATTCTATTTATAAAGGTATTTCTCAATCATCATACTGTTTATTTTCGGACCTTACCCTAACATCACTATAAGCCAGTATATGTGATCAGATCAGAACCAATATCGAATTAAAAACACTCTACAAAGATTTACTATTTAACTGGGAATAAGCCACAATTAAAGATAAAAATACGTTTATTGACGTTTTAATTTCCACTTCGGAAATCGTTCTCAAAATACAAACACTGTTTGTAACGTATTTTTATCTTGAATTGTGGCTTATTCCCAGTTAAATAGTAATTAATTTAAAATGCCACAAGAAAATAGCTTCAGAACTCTACAATGACGCCGATATTGTCCAAGGAATTAAATCACGGCGACTAAGATGGGCAGGCCACGTGCACAGACTGCATAACGAGAGACTTGTAAAAACTGGTATGGAAGGAGATTCCCGCAGGCAAAAGACCACTCAGACGTCCCAAAATGCGATGGAGAGACAACATCCAAGCAGATCTCCGGAAAATGAACATTCCATTTGACCGTAAGTTGATGGAAGACCGAACAAATTGGAAAAAAGTTGTACAGTATACATCTATCGATGTATAATATATACATACATATATATGTATCGGTAATAATATTCTTTAAGATGAACTGATGATGCTCACTAAACAGTGGGCGAAACGTTTTCAATAAATAGATAAAGTAGCACAACGTTTGTCTTTTTTATCTCCAAATTGACCGAAAACATCCCATTCACTTAAGAGAGCAATCAGTAGCTTGGTTCTAAAAGGGCCAAAGTCATAAAACGCTGTTTTTGGGAAACTGCTTTAGAAGATTCTTATACAAAATGATCTACAGTTATTGCTAATATTTTTTATATTGCAACACTGTTTTTTTGTCTTGTCATTCTTACATAGATTACGGAATGTTTGGCATCAGTAAAACTGACCCACATTTGTTTTTTTTTATTGGAAATATGACATTGGCCCTTTTAGAATAACAAAAAAATACTCCAAAATGTTACTTTGGCCCAATTAAGAAATAATAACATTGCAATAATTTGAAGAGATTAATGTTAATTTTATAAAAACATAGTCACAATCAGTAGGATTACAATGGTAATATTACATCTCATCATCTTGATCGTACTCCTCATCTGCAATAAAATTATCCGTTGCAGATGGTGATGTAGTCAAAGTATTGAGAAACTGAAGGTAATATGGACGACTACTCTCCTCAACGTAAGGTAACATGTCTTTCAGATGTTGTGTTTTATTCGCTGGTATGCCCAACGGTTTATCAGAGATTGGTAACAAACGAGTAGTTCCAGAATTTCTAGTTCTTGTTCTTAATAAGCTCAATGTTTTATAAGGCTCATCGTCGGTAAAGGAGTTTTTGTATTTCATCACGCCAAGATTTTCACTTGAATAGTAAATAAGTCTTATTTTAGACCACACCACTGGTTGTCCTTGAGTATTGGTTTTTGCATGCTGAAATTTGCCAGATAATAATGATTTAAAACAAAGAAATTCTTCTTGCTTCATTTCTTGAACAAAAATTGGTGGTTTTCTGGGTATTAGACGAATAAGGTTAGCCCAGTCTCTAGGAATATCTATCCTGGCAGTAGTAGAATTTTTAGTTTTTTCTATTGCAGCATGTATAGTGTCTGCTTCCATGTGAGTGTGTCCGGGTACTAGAAATTTGTGATAAATATCAATCTTCCTTCCTTGGTGTTTGGAATGTTCAATAACGGTAAGAAGCATAACTGATAGTAAAATATTTCGATTTTGCCCAGGGCAGCAGTCGCTATACATAATGATTTTATTTATATGAGAGGGAATACTATTTAGGTAGGTGTATAGACAGGAAGCAATTTCTTGTCCACCTCTTTGAGCTATAGTTTCATTCCATAGGTAGCATTTAGCTGAGTTTGTAGTTCCTTGCGTCTCAAAAATGGTAAGGTTCAGAGTCCATAATTTTCTTTTATAGAATGAAATGCTGCTTTTTAAGTAGGGAGTGGGCAAACATTTTTGTAGGTCAAAACTGAATACCACCAAATTTGGATTAAGTTTGCAAGCCAGTCTATCTTTCTTTTTCTCTTCATAAGCAAACTCTGCTAAGTGTTGATGTTGTAATTTTTCACTTTCAAGTTGGGCTCTTTCATTTTCATCTGTAACGGATTTAAGGAGTAAAGAAAACTTATCGCAAGTAGTACACGTATCATTATACGGTTTTTTAAAACACAAGTTAAATTCTTCCACGGAAATTTGTCTGTACAGTGATTCGTTTCTAGGTGTTATGTTGTTTTCTTGGCAATACTCACAATATAGCCTATACATTTTTAAAATAGAAAGATCGGGAGGCAAATATTTCTTTGCAGTTTTCTCTCGAGCGTAGTGACTTTCAAACGAAGGAAACATCAGAATGTGTTGCCTTATTACATCTTTCTCCTCTTCCTTTATTTTTGGATGGTTCGTATGTTTTCCACGACCATCGCTTGAGCAAATATTTGATGTTGGGGAACGCTTTTTCTTCATTATTACCCAAACTTTTTTTAAGGTTACATCTAACGTTGATAAAAACATAACTTGGCAAACCTCAGTTCTCTCTGAGTTACAATCTAAATAATATTGCCTGCTTGCACTAAGTGATTTGAAAATAAGATTTATAGGACTGAAATGTCTTAGCATAAGTTACTAACATTCATACAGTCGGCCTAGTCACTAAATTTGTCCTACATGGTACATTTTTTTAGTATACAATTTTTTACTTAGTTACCATTTCGTCCTTACATCTAAATCTTGTAATATTACCAATTTTTAACATAAAGTTAACCTATTTACTTACCGGCTTGTTTATTTGCTTCCATTTTGTCTAACTTACACAAGTTAACAAGTTTCTTTCCACGGTATAACTGCTCCATCACTTTTTGTATTTTAAAACACACACTCACAGGCCTCAGAGCCACTGTCGATTTTTTAATACAAAGATTAGGTACTACTTTTGCGCTCACGATAATGTGTATAGACAGAAACCTAACCTAGAAATAAGGGGCCAATGTCAAATCAAATCGAAGAAGGTTTTGTTAAAAAAGGGCCAATGTCAACATTGGCCTGTATAGAAATAAAATTTTTAGAAGCATTGAGGCTGAAGTCTACATTACTCCTTTTTGCTTTAAAAATTAGTGTTGATTAGAGATTGACATTGGCCAAAAGTAATGCTGTAAGTCTGTTGTTACTCTATCTAGACATTGGTCCTTTTTACACAGTGTTGTTTATTCGAAATCTAAGACAAAAATGCACTTATGCCCAAACAGTCTAAAATTGACATTGGCCCTTTTAGAACCAAGCTTCTGATATATATATATATATATATATATATATATATATATATATATATACATATATATATATATACATATATATATATATATATATATATATATATATGTATATATATATATATATATATATATATATATATATATATATATTATCATTATATACATCATCATTCTCAACGTATTCTACTAGCTATGGTGTAGCCTCCCTTACATAGTCATTCTTCTTTTTTGCCAAGTATATTTATTGATTTTTGATAATAATTTATACTTCAATGAACCTACGGATAGTTAAAATAAAACAAAACAGTTGCATTTACGATGTATTTCAACAAAAAGAAGCAGGAATCCTTAAACCTATATCTTCACGAGTTCACCCAAATTTTGATTAATATGGGGGGCACACTCTTTGACCAAATTCAATAGTACATTGAACTCCTGGCATGACTGGATATGCAGCAATTGGTGGTATTATTGGTGGACCAAATCTGTTGCCGTCGTTATAATGGAAAAAATTGTTTTTGTTTGATGACTTTTTTTCATTGTCCGCCTTTATTATAAGTGTTCTCAGTAAGTCATCGTTAACATCCAGGAGATGTGCCCAGATCGTGGTTAAATTCAGAAGAACCTAAAAAATAAAATATTTATTTTTACGATATATTATATAATATTTACAGAATATTAATATCCGTTTAAACTTTAATTCGAAAAACTAACGGCCCCTACTGAGGCTTGCATTGGGATAAGACAGGGAGAATTCCCTAAGAAGAAGAAGAAGAAGAAGAGAGAGAATATTAATATCCGTTTAAACTTTAATTCGAAAAACTAACGGCCCCTACTGAGGCTTGCATTGGGATAAGGCAGGGAGAATTCCCCCAGGAGAGTCCTCTATTGTTTAACCTAGTTATGTATGAAATAATTAAAAAGTAAGAACTAAAAAATGATACCAAATGGGTGAAAAATAACTTAAAATAATCTGCTATGCATATTCAGAACGTTATATATTAGAGACCATAGTAATCAGTTACATGGTCCAAGAATAACTCATACAGGATTACCACAGGGGTCTGTATTAAGCCCGATTCTATTCAACATACTTTCAGCAAGTGTACACGTCATTTTTGTTGATTCCATAAAATGTATTCAGTACACCTGATATATGTATTTATTCCATTTACGATTCATATGACGATTGTGTCAAGTTCTGGAACACATCCAGACGATGAACTAACTATATCCCCAGAAAAATCTGCTACTATAAGATACGTACGTCTGATCAAAATGTCATGTAAACCTGTCATAATATGATGTAACTGTTATCAGTAAGTATAAATTTCTTGGTATAATCACAGACCCCAAATTACTATGGGACAAACATGTATAATGTGTAAAAAAAGATGTGAGAAAGACATTGATCTCCTTAAATGTGTCACTTGCAGGGCGGTGTTGATCTCAAAGTTGCATTAATGTTTTACAGGACCTACGTGCGATCAATTTTGGATTACGGACGTATGTTATACAGATCATCAAGCAGTACACATTTACTACAACAACACCCCATCTCCATAAAATAGATCGTATTCAGTTTAAAAAGATTTCAGAGCACCCAGATTTGAGATTAAGTCTGGGTGCTATGAAATCAACACCATGTGCCCTGTTACTTGCTAAAAGTAATGAAATCTCATTAGAAAATCGTAGAAACTTATTGGCAACAAAAAGGGACAGAACAAGTGGCTTTCTAAGTATGCTGTATGAATTATCCATACAAAATCTAGTAAACAGTTATTGGAAAATAAAATATTGATCACCATTAGTGAATGCCTTTCTGAAAACCAATGATTTACCTGGTTACACTTTCATCAAATTTTACTATACCATTCTATAAGTTAGAATTTAATACGATCTTCAAAAAACCAAATGTTATATTTTTGAAATATTCAGATTTACGTCAAATAAATAACAAGTTGTTAAACTCCATATTGAAATAATATACTAATAAAACTTTAATTTACACAGATAGCTCTAAACAGAACACTGAGAAGGTAGGTTCTGCAGTGTACATTCATTCAATAACAAATCGTTTAAAATTAAGCTTCTATTAGAAAAGCTCTGGATTGGCTAGAGCATGAAAATTTTCAAGATTCTGTGATCATCTCAGACTCGAAGTCAGTTCTTACGATTATAAACATGCTGGTATATAGAAACAGATATAAACAGTCATCATCATCATGGGCTTTTACAACTCTTCGTGAGTTTTTGCCGCGTTTACTATTGCCTTCCATTGATTCCGATCCTGTGCTATTATTTCCCATGGCCTTACTTCCATCTTCTCCAGGTCTTCCCTGACTGCGTCTTTCCACCTTTTTCTAGGCCTTCCTGTCGATCTTCTACCATCTGGTCTTTCCCAAAACACATTGCTAATCAGTCTGTCGTCATCACTCCGTACCACGTGGCCTGCCCATCTTAATCTATTGGTTTTTATGTATCTTACGATGTTTCCTTTCCCGAAGAGAGTCTCTATTTCATTGTTGTATCTGCTCCTCGATTTATTTGTCACGCTGTCCCTGCAAGGACCATATATAATTCGCAGGATTTTGCGTTCCCATACTAATAGTTTATTGATTTCTTTCTTTCTCAATGTCCATGTTTCACTTCCATATGTCACTGCTGGTCGTATTATGGTTTTGTACATTTGGATTTTGGCACGCCTTGACAGAAGCTTTGACCTCATTAGATGTTGAATGGCAAAGAATGATTTATTCCCCGCCAGTATTCGTATTTCAACCTCCCGTTCTCCTGTGTTTTCACTGGTAATTGTTGCTCCTAGTATTTGAATTCTTTGACCACCTCAAAATTATGATCGTTTATGGTAATGTTTTGTCTTATTCGCTGTCGTTCCTTTTTTGATACGACCATGTATTTAGTTTTTTCTTCGTTTATTTTCAGGCCTACGCTTAGTGTTGCTTCTTCAAAGTTCGATACTATATCCTTAACTTCCAGTGTTGTCTGTGCTACTGCATCTACATCATCTGCAAATGCGAGAATAATCTTTGCTCCTCTGGCAGTTATGTCTGGTTTGACTCTGGTATAGATTTTTCGCATTGCGTATTCCAATGCTAGGTTAAATAGTAATGGGGACAGCGGGTCTCCCTGTCTGAGCCCGGTGCTTATGCCGAAAGCCTTTGAAGTTTTGCCTCCTATTTTAATTTGTGCAAAGGAATTGTTGACACACATTCGCGCAATCATGGTCAGCTTCTTTGGTACGCCTAACTCCATCATTGCACTCCACAGTTTTAAGCGATCTATGGAATCATATGCTTGTTTGAAATCTATGAAGATCTGGTGTACTTCTTTATTATATTCCCAATACTTTTCTAGCATTTGTCTGATAGTAAATATTTGGTCGATTGTTGATCTTCCAGGCCTAAAGCCGCATTGGTAATCGCCAATAATTTCCTCTGTATATGGCAGTAATCGTTTTAGTACAACTGAAGCTAATATCTTATATGTAGTACCGATTAGTGAGATTCCGCTGTAGTTGCCACATGTATCCTTTCTGCCTTTTTTATGTATTGGCACGATAATACAGCCACTCCATTCTTTTGGCAATATTTCTTGTTCCCAGGCTTCTTTCATTAATTGGTGTATTTTAGTTCTAAGTTCATGCCCTCCTTTTTTAATCAGTTCTGCATCAATATTGTCTAGTCCCGGGGATTTGTCTTTTGAGATATAAACAGTATCAGATCAAATAAATTTTTATCATAAAAAAATTTTTAACTGGCAATACAGATGGAAAATATTGGCGAATACTTAAATAATCAAAATAATCACTATTACAAGATTTATCCTACGTTACCATTCCTGACAGAATTACCACACATATTCCATTATAATATATCTAAACGATTAGCAGCAACTATCACAAGATTAAAAACTAGTAACGGTGCTGTTCCTGCTCACCTGGCTAGATTAAACATTATAGAATCAGGACATTATGAGCATCAGAACACCTTCCCTGTTAAGACCAACATAATCCAGATATATGCACCTACTGCAAACAAATCAGACGAAAAGATCGAAACCCGGAATTATTGACTGTTTTAAAAAAACTTTACAAAAACGAAATAAAAATGCTTATAGGAGACCTAATTGCCAAAGTGGGAAAGGGTAGATGTGGAGAAACCGTAGGACCTTTTGGAATGGGGGAACGAAACGAACGCGGAGAACTTTCTTTAAACTACCAGCTAAGAGATTACTTATATACGTGGAGATCACCTCAACACATCCCAGATCACATAATCAGAAACCAAATTGATTACATTATAATGAATAAAAGATTCAGAAACTCAATAACATCAGCCAAAACATATCCTGGTGCTGATATCGTGTCGAACCATAACCCGCTAGTTACCATCAGACTAGAGCTGAAAAAGAAAGAGAGTGCAAAAGCAAGAAAATACGATATAAGACCATTAAAAAATGAAGACGACAGGCACCAGATACACACCTATATAGAAAAAGAATTAAAAATACAGACAAAGCTAATGAATCAAATAACGAAATGGCATAACTACAACACTACAACAACGGTGAAAAAGAAAGAGTGGATTACTGATAAAATTCTAAATATGATGGAGAATAGAAAAAGGGCTAAAAACAGAGATCTTTGGGAGTATGAACGAATCGACAAAGAAATACGAAAAACTATTAGAGAAACCAAAAACAAATGGTTGAAAGATCAATGCAGAGAAATAGAATCATTGGAAAGTAGACACAACTCGTTTAATCTCCACAAGAAAGTAAAAGAGGCAGCAGGAATGTACAAACCCAAGAGATCAGAACATATGACTGATGATCATGGCTACCCGGTGACATTGAACAAACAAAGGATATATGGAAGAGATACGTTGAGAAGACATTCTATGACGATAGAGATAACAACCAGATAATTATGGAATACGACACAGGACCACCAATCACTCAAGACGCAGTCAAAGCCGCAATTAAAGCAACCAAAGCAGGTAAAGCACCAGGGCCCTACAACTTTTATTCAGAATTTCTAAAAATCATGGAGACAAAGGAGTAACATGGCTTCGACAACGTTCAATAAAATCTATGACTCGGAAAAATCCTGGAGAGCTGGTTAAAATCTACATTTATTGCTATACCTAAAAAATCTTGTTCACGGTTCAGGTATTATTTCAAAGGTGTTGAGACGTCAACTGCGATATTTATGTATGCTTTATCGACTACCAGAAAGCTTTTGACAGAATCAAGCACGGTAAGCTCATGGATATACTAAAGGCAACTGATCTGGATAACAAGACTTCAAGTAATCAAAACATAATCTACAACCAATATCATCATCATCATTAAATTTTCCTCCCAGAAAATTGGTCAAAAATCAAAAACCTCTTTCAAATATAGCAAAATAGTGCTGCAAGGACTAATATTCATCAATAAATTATTTATCAGTAAAGTTTTCATTCCAAGATAATCTAAAACCGTTTCGGAAAACTGTCTTTAAAATCTGCTTTAAACTTAAAAACGCCAATAAAAAATAGTATTTTATAAATTAAAAAAAAATGGTTTAGGTGCTACCTATATTTAATTAAAAAATAATAATATACCAAACATAGGATTCACTCTAAAATTTTGCTAAAATTAAAGGAGCTAATTTAAATGATAAGAACCTACCACTAATACAGTAAAAATATAACACTTCATCTTGAGGAGTTGTTGGAACTGGATAATTTGTTTAGTTCCCCATTGGCTTTTATACTTGCAAAAACAATGTCTTCGGTATTCTTCAATTAAGTTATTTAATTAAATTGAAATATTGCTAAATAACTTATTTTCGCCTACAGCGGCCATATGTTAATTTAATTTTAAATTATTCCTAAATCAAAAGTTTAACAAGAAATTATTTAATTTATTGTTTTTGCAAATTGTTTTGACATGACAATGGGAAAATGGGGAAATATAGTATATTGGAAAAAACCTTTATTTTCGCCTACAGATGCCATGTGGTATAGGGTTTCTATGTTCGAAGTAATTTTACAAATATGGAAATACCGAAATGCAAACAAGAGTCACATTCATTTGAATACAATCAAAAAACGCAGTACGATAAGATAATGCAATACGCTTGAATACATACTCTTAACAAGAAGATAATTAACGCAACAATACAAGCAGGTAAGAAGCTGACTTAAAAGAATAGTGGACTAGGAATAGTGAACTAGACTTAGGCAAATATGCAAATAAAAAAGTATAAAATATGCGCATAAATATGCAGTATTTTATGCAAAAATATGCAGTATTTTATACAAAATATGCAGTATTTTATGCAAAATATGCCTATTTATCTAGAAAGTATGTATGTAATAAAAAATATTTACAATATTTTTTATTTACAAAAATACTTACAATATTATAAATACATAACATATACAATTATTTTAACATATAAATATTATTTTGAATTGTGGTAACAATAAATTATCAAATGATGTTCAAAATTTTCTAATAAAAACTTATGGCTTCTATAAGAACACATATATTTGTAAATAGAAAAACTCCTTTCGACATCAACTGATGTAACTGCGGCATTTTTCACATTTACTATAATAGATGGTTCTAAATTAAATGGTTGGTAAAATGTCCCAGCTAGTACTTGAACCACTTCAGAAAAAACCTGGTAACCACTATTTTTTTCCTTGGTTACTTGAAATTTTTGAAAAATTTCCTTTTCAATATACCTTTAACTTTTAACACAATGACTCAAATTCTTTTATTAAAACTGTACTCTCTAACAATGATAATTTGGAGGATTCTAATTGAGCTATAGTTTTCTGGACAAAATTATAATTTGATTTTATGAATGACAGTTGCTGTTGGAGGATGTTATTTTGGAAGGCTTGCTTAGCTTCCAATAAAGATTGGCAACTATTATCCGTTAAGAGGTTAATTATTTTTTTTAATCAATAAAATGATCAGCATAGAAATTAGCTGCTTCCAACCATGTTCCCCAACTTGTTAAAATGGGTTGCGGTGGCAGTGGATAGATAGATAGATAGATATTTTTATTTGCCCTTTGTTACATACATGTATGCATAGGGTATGTCAAAATTACAATATAACATTAAAATAATACATAGTTACAATTAAAAGTAATATACAGTACAAAGACAATAAACAATAAGTCGCTAACAATTGCACAAAACATATTAAAAATACAAAAATAAAAATATGCAACAGACATTGGGCATCTTCTAAATAATTTCAGTTAAACATTCTGTAAATTTACGTACTGAATAAAAGGCATGGCTGATTAAGAATTGTTTTAATTTTTTTTTTGAAAATTTCTTAGTGAAATAAAATTTTTAAAACTAGACGGTAGTTTATTAAAAAGTAGGGAGCCTGCATATTCAGGAGACTTTCTGAATTTGTGTGATTATGATGGGAGATAAAGTATCCTTGCATTTCTTGTGTTATACCGTGTAAGTCAGTTGCTGTTTTAAGAAAATTTAACTTAGTGAACGTATGTGATAGTAATTTACAAATATATATTGAAGCAAGCGTAAGAATGTTATTATTTTTAAAACATTGTCGACAACTGTCCTTAAAGCGTAAACCAAATATTGTTCGAATTATTCGTTTTTGTAGGATAAATACTCTCAAACTTTCCGA